CATCTTTTACTTTATAATATGGCCAACACTATACCGAGTACTTCTTAATGTCCTGCCGTTGAAAAAGAAGGATCCAGTGGGAAGTCCAACGAGAACCGATGCAAGCAGAACAGAAGATGCTCTGAAAAAGATGTCGTGATTGTACATAGAAAGCTCTGTTCCTATTCTTAAAATTAGTTCCAACGATCTTATTGCTTATTATGTGATCTCACATGTACTTAAGGCTGCTTGGTGTTTGTTCGTACCTTGTCATACAGCTTCTGTGCTTTACTGATTTTCATACGATTACAAATATGAAATATAAGTGATCGAATAATGAAAATCATGTCTACCGAAAAAAGCAAAATTACAGGTGACTCAGTAAGCAAACTGCCTCAAAGATACTGGAAATGGGCAAAAATGTATTAGTTGTAGTTTAGTGGGGTATCTTATGGATCTCAGCCAAACAGATACCTTACTAAAGTTTAATTAAAAGAGCGGCAGAAAAGCGGGGAATCCTAAGTAGTTTTCAGATGGATTGAGAAGGACTCATCTGTAACACGAAACCCAGTGCCGTCGAAAGTGCACAATTCTCGATAAAAACGATTTCTGGGACATCGGCCTAGGATGAGACTATGGCCTACCCGTGTATCTTAAGACACTGTCAGGTCGGAAAACGGCCTGGATGGGGTAACAGAGGCGCTCAAAGATTGCTTCGGCGCTATGCCACACTTCAGGTGAACGCGTCTTTCTGGCGTTGCAAAGGCTGCACTGCTCACAATGGGTACTCACGCTGGAAATTCAAACAACTAGTCCTGGCTCTGGGCACAGTGAAAGTCAGTTCTGAACATATCTTGCTTTATGTGGCAGCTCTTTACGCACTTGCATTGACTGAAATTTCTGATGTTGTGAGAAAAGTTCCCATTTATACACAATATCTTTCAGCAACTTGACACGCTGCAAGTCAAGATTTTGGCCTGAGGTCTTTGAACGCCTCACGAATTTTCCTGTCCATTCCGTTACTGCCGGTATATTCAAGAAGTATAACCAGAACGGCATGAGTTTCGGAGTGCTCATGAAGCGGCATTTATCATGAAGACGTTTGGAATGAAGTCCACCATCATACAGAGAATCGATCGTTCCACATGAAACAGTTTCGTCTATTCAGCAACGCTATCAGGGCAGGCATTCCCCTGATAGCGCTCCACACAACAAATTCTAACGGCTTGTAGAGGAGTGCCTGGGTGGTACTGGTCACGATCATGACCAGTCAGGCACTTGCTTTGGCCCTGGTGCAATATGGAGCCAATCTGGAGGTNGCAAAGCCCGGGAATTCCGAACCATCAACCCATCCTAGTCGTCCTTCCTCAAAGTCCACATCGCTATCCACCACACCGTCCGTCGCTGGTGGCAGCTTAACCGTGAAGATCCTATATAAGACAGCCCCGCATTTTCCAACATGTGGGTCCCTTTTTTGACTACCGTTTCACGTTTCCACGTTATTTTCAATGTCGCCTCCACTGGCCCCTTCTATAGTGCGGATAGTCGACGCCATGAATGAAACGAATGACGCTTAGTGGGTTGAATTTCTTGCTTGAAACGACAATTTCTGGCAGAATCATTTTCACTCCTTTTTTGGCATTCAGAAGGCCATTTAGCGGAAATGGACCCTAGTTTTATGATCAGTGCTCATGCCCCTATACCATGCAAAAAACCATTTTCAAAAAGCGTCCCACGCCCTGAAAGAACTTCCTTGTTAGAGAAATTTCAAGGCGAAAGAATGTAGTTGTTCCCCAAGCCTCAGGAGGCAGGAGCGGTGGGTTAGAAAGGTTTCTAAGCAGATATGTGCGCCAACCTCCTAATATGCACTCTAGCGCTGAATGTTGAAAAAAGCAGAGGCCAATACAGATTGAAATCACAGTTTTTAATTATCAATTTCACTCCACATTACTCACTTCACTCCGCAGTACTCACTCTACTCCATCAACCAACCCACCACCAAGTTACTGCTTTATTTATAGGAAATGTGAGAGCTAATCATAAGGTTTTACGAACGGATAAACGGTCAAACATACAAACCGACAAAATGACAAACCGAGTTACTGCTCTATAAATGAGAGAGCTTCTAAATTTCAGCGGACAAAAATAATCGTTATGAAACACATGGCCCCCTTAATTTACCCAAAAAGAAAACGCGCATTTGAGGAGCGTGGAAGTTTCGTTCAACTGCTGGATAGGAAATTCTTATGTAATTATTCCGTGATTGCCCTTTTTCCCGATCGATAAAAGAAACACACTTCGGTGGCTATCAGTACAGGAATGACAATATTCAATTGCTCACATTTTGTAGTTGTAGACGATATTCTAATTATGTTGACACAGTTGTGGAAACTCAACCTGAAATTGTAAAAACGAATAGCTAATAGTCAGGGTATAGTCATACTAAGTCATAATACAGATATCCTTACACTCTGCTTAAATGAATAGCTATTTCGATGAGAAAGACTTACTGAAACTGTAACCACAAAGACCTTTTGGCCCACAGGTGGTACCGGAAATTACTGCGCTACAATCACTATCCTTATTGCATCCATTTACTCCTTGAGTACCTGGGTAAATCGGTTTGCCCAGCTGCGGCCTGAAAGTAGGATCGTTAGGTCATGGTAAATCGCTCAATGCTGGTTGGTTGGGCTAAAATGCGCGATGTACACGACTTCTGTTCGTGGTATTGTGATAGTGATGGGATACATATGAAGACAGAGCGNTAATGCGCAATTCATACTCTGATGGGGACGCTAGCGCAAGGATGGTTGATCAAATTACTTCTAACAGCTCTGATAGTACAAATGTTCCTCGGAAAAAAGGGCTCATTACCAATGAAAGTAGGTGCTACTTCACGGAAAATGAGCGAGTTCAGTGTATTTCGTTTGTTCACCGATTTTTTCTGAGATGAAACTAGCAAAAAAGAAACCTACGCAGAATCGAACACGCAAGCTACCACAGCAACTGGAGGCGTTAAATAACCACAGCTTTGATCAAAGAGAAGACCAGTGATACAGGTGGTATGGAAAGGAGTTTAATTGAATTCAGGAAGATTAGCAATATCACGAGATAGATATTGTGGTCACCTCAGCATGGATTGTCTTATGAAAGGGAATTTTCAACTTGAACCACTTTTCTTACACTCAGGCCGGATCTTCCTATGAAACACTTTTCCTACACTCAGGCCCGATCTTCCCATAAACCGTCGCGTAATGCATTCAGACATATCCCCGACGCTGACTTACGATCTTTTGAAAACTTTGAAGGCAACAAAATAATTCTGCAAATAGGGGATGCTAGAAGTCATGTACCATATCAACACAAGAACAACTGGGGAAAAGTCCTTCGAATTTGTTGCTTGTTTTCTGCTTTTTCTTGAAGAATAAAGAAGAAACCTACGCAGAATTGAATATGCAGGCTACAACGGCCCTTGGTGGCGCTGGCTGATTACATTCCTGATATGCGCATCCAGCTTTTGTTGACTTGTAGTAGATCATCTGAAAAAAGCTCTGTCATTAGCTTACTCCAATGCAATATCTTGGAAATTACAACATCTTGGAAATTACAATGTTTCACCGAAAAGATGTGAGAAGGCATATTAGGGGGCATATACGCATCCGTCTCTCCGGTCTCTTCCCCGCCCTTTCTCGAACA